CCCCGCGGCCCTCTCTCCCCTGCCCTGTTCCTGGCTCCCAGCCCTCGGCCCCCCTGGCAGCCAGGCCCGGCCAAGGCCAGGCTGTTTTGGAAAAATGCTGGGAGGTGGCAGAATGTGCGGTCTTTGAGTTCCTCCAAACTGGCGCCCCGATCCCTGGACAAACAGCGGCCGTGTTTGCCGTCCACAAGGGCCTGTGTTCTCCTTCCAGCCCAGGAGATCCCGGGCAGCCGGCGTGGGGGGCTGGCGGGCAGCGGGCGGACGTCACCGGCCCGCGGCCTGCAGAGAGGGGCACGGACAGACCGGGCGATGACAGTTCTAACCCCCGCTGGCGGGCCCTCCCTCCCTGCGGTCAGACCCAGGGCGGCCTGGGGACCTGCTTCCTTTCCCTCTGCTGCCACACAGGACATGCAGCAGGAAGAGGAATTCACACGCTGAGAAAGGACCGCCTTCCGCGGGCGCCCTCCCCAGAAAGCTCGGGTGTGTCCCGCCGCCTCACACTGACCCTGGGAACCCCCCCTCCCCGAGGGGGCCCTCAACGTGGGCTCGTGCTGGGCTCAGGCGGTCTGCTTCTGGCACAGGGACGCCACTTCGGTTCTGGGGGGCCCTGGGCACGTCTCTGTCACTCGGAGACTATCTCGTGGAAAAAGGAGGCCTTTCCAGGCTCGGGTGGCTCAGTGGGTAAGCATTGATGTATGAACCAGGAGGTCATGGTTCAGTTCCTGGTCAGGTTGTAGGCTTGATCCCCATTTGAGGTGTGGGGGGGAGGATGCAGGAGGCAGCTGATCAATGATTCTCTCTCATCATTGATGTTTCTATCTCTCTTCCTCTCTGAAATCAATTATATATATATATATATATATATATATATATATATATATATATATATATATATTAAACAGTTTAAAAAATAGTAATAGAATAAAAGAAAATGAAGGACTCGCCTTGCTCCCCTTCCCCTCCCCTGGGGAGAGCAGGCAGGGATGGGGTAGTGTAGGTCTAGGGTTCAGGGCCTGGGTGTGTGTGGGGCGGGGGGGTGGGGAGTGGGGGTTGGGGGGGGAGAAGGCAGGTGAGGCAAAGATGGCACAGGGCAGAGGGTGGGGATCAGGGCCTGCGGAGTGCCCTGCCCTGATGGCATCCTTCGGAATATGCTGGTGTTTCTCTGTGGGGTGTCCAGGCTCTGTGACCCAGAGGGAGAGGGCCCTGCAACTGGGCTGTGTCTGTGCCTGGGGCTCTGCCCAGAGATTGGGTCTGACAGACTGGACGGAAAGACCTGTCTCAGCCACAAGAAGGCCACAGGCCAGCTGGGGGCCCTCCGTGAGCACAGCCTGGGGAGGACACAGGGCGTGGCAGAGTCAGGACCAGCCTGGGCCCTGGGGGCCTGTCCCCCCTGCTTCCTGGTGCAGTTCTGGGGTCTCGGCTCTGCCTCCCCACCTGTGGTCGCTCGATCCCGGGACCCGCCTTGGATCAGGCTGACCGTCGTGGCCTGGGCTGGCCTCGCCTTCCTCCGCTGAGACAGGTTGCTGAGCAGCTGGTAATCGGCAGAGAGCACCTGGTTTGTCATTGCATGGGCCTGGGGCCATCACCGGTGCCCACTCTACACTGCCCTGCCCTTTAGTGTGCCCGTCCTCGGCCCCACAGGGAGGGGATCTGACTACCTGCTTAATCCCTTCCTCACGCTTACGTGACCAGGAGCTCTATTTGCTCCATGAAACAGCCACTGAAACGTGCCTCACGTGGCACGGGCCGGGAGTCAGGGGAACTGAATTCTGCTCAGTCCGCCATGTGGCTGTGGACATCCCTCTAAACACGATGACGCAGAGGGCAGGCCCGGAGCGCTCTGGGTTGCCGAGTCTGCCATGAGACGCCTGACCCAGGTGGTCATGGTCCTATTGGCGGGGGTGCTGGCTCCAGCTGCCCCTCCCCCAACGGGTCTCCGAGCCCAGGGGTGGTCTAATTGCCTCTTTCCTTCCCCACGGGACCCTGCTGGTCGAAGGACCCTGCCTGGCACCTCTCTGCCTGGGATCACAGGACACAGGCTTTCAGAAGTACCCCCTGCCTGGCAGGTGGGATTGGGGGCTGCTGAAGGGAATCGGGGGGGGGGGGGGGGGAGGGGGGAATCCCCTTTCAGTGAGGCCGAGAAGGCAGAGACCAGAAAGCCAGACGAGGTGAGTCCCCACGGTTTATTATGGAAGCCTATGAAAGAGCCACATCGAGTACTTTCAAAATCACAAAATGCACAACATTCATTTCTTTTTTAATATGCAACATGGGATATTATATACAGATTAAAGACCACGTGACAGCAAAAAAAAAAAAAAAAAGAAAACACACACGGCACCAGTTTCATATCCAAACAGAACACACAAGTGCTTTTTTCAATATTAAAACAACTGTGATAAAAACATATTAATATTTTTGAACCACTGTTTACAATAGAGAAAAATTCATATTTTACTAAATAACAAATATTTAACAGCAAAAACACTTTATACTAAATATCTATTTTGAATTATAACAAAAATAGTACTTATAATAGTTTATAAAGACAGACACAAAATTATAACATTTATGAAAAAAAAAAAAAGTTTTGTGTATAAAATATCATAGCGCTCTGGGCAGGGGCGGGATGGTGCCCAGAGCGGAAACGCCAGCGCCCAACATCGAAAGTGCTTCAATCTGCAAGCCCGTGGCAGGACACGTGGTGTGGAGAAGGTTCTGTCTTTTACACGTCAAGTTACGATCGTTAGGAACGGTGAGTGAGACCACATCACTCGGCTATGCTACGTCTAGAAAACCTACACAGAGACACACAGACACACAGACACCGGCGGACGCACAGAGGGCAGATGGACGGACTTCGACACCGGAACCCCTCGCTCAGCCAGTCAAGAGCTTTCTTCCTCTCTCTGGTTATCTCTGAGACCCAGCAGGGAAATGATCCTTCTTTCCTCCTCACAAGGACCCTCCTCAGCCCTCTCTCTGCCCCTCTCCAGCCAGCCACCCCAAATGGGAGGTCCACGGAGGCCTCCCAGGGCCCCCCAGCCTCCCACCCCCTCCAAAGCCATGCCCACTGGGCTTCCCTGTGCATCCCTAGCTATTTGACCAAGCACAGCTGGGCCGGGCGAGCTGGGTCAGCGTGAAGGCGCAGGGAGTCCCAGACGCCAGGCTTTCACCCAACGCCGGTGTTGATGAGTCTTAACACCTGTTTGCCTGTTTTCCAGAATGCAGAGAAATTGAGAGATCTTACTAAATTTTTTTGCATGTCTATTTTTTTTTTTTTTTTTGCCAGTCAAATCTGTTCCACACTATTGTTTAATAGTGGAAAGAGAGAAACCAAATGAAACAACGGAGGACAGGTGGTTGGTTCTGAGTGGGGTCCAGAGTGGGAGTGCCATCTGTCCCCTCAGAGGAGGCCACTGCGTGTCGGTGGTCACCTCTTCCAGAGGCACACGCATCGTTCTCCCGCACCTCCTCCGTGAGCTGGTTTTCCTGTTCAGAGGACGCATGGCCCTTACGGCATCCAAAGCCGATGGAGACACACAGACAGCGAAGACAGGTCCAAAGCCAGACAAAATCGCGAAGACTCACCAGTGGCCCCACACCATCCCAACGGCCGACTCAGCATGCTGGGGGCGGCAGCACCTCCTCTTCCCCGCAGTCACCCCCGACTGGCCCATTTCCACGCAGATCACGGCTGACAAACCACACATGCTCTCCCCACGGCCTCCCCAGGACCACTGAGGAAGGCCGCCTTCTGGCTCACCTCCCCCTGCCTTCGTCTCGGCCCTCACCCCTGAGCTGGGCTGAGCAGACAGTGGCACAGAGGCAGGCGGGGACTTCGAGGACACCTTTCCGAGGCTGAAGGGGGCAGGTGAAGGGAGGGACGGCGGAGCCCCTCGCTCCCTGTCAGAGAAAGAACCCGTATCCTTCCCCATACGCACTGGTCTCGTGGGGGGCACCCCACTCGGGGGTGGGGGGGGGACAGTGATTGTGTGGGAGATAGTGCACCCCCAAACCCCCGTGCTGCTGACAGAGTTGGGGATTAGGCAGTGGGCCATTTCCTCATCTTCAGCTGGGGGACAAAGGCAGAGGTGCTGGGTTGCACCCCGGAAGTGCAGCTGAGGTTGAACCCACAGAAGGTCTGGAGCGGGGGGGAGGATGCTGAAGCTCAGCCAGAGAGGGCTGATAGGTCCCCGGGCAGCTGGGATGGAGGCTGGGGGTGGAGGCCTCCATCCCAGGCCCCAGGAATGCCGGGATTCGGTTAGATCGGTGAATAAATATGGGCCTTGGCGGGGGTAACAGTGGAGCAGGGTGGGCCCAAGGCCACCTGGCAGGGAGGTGGGGATGTCATCGCTGTGTGCACGCCCCAGGCCACCAGAGAGGATGCTGGGAGGACGGAGCCTGGAGCTCTTTTGCCCCAATTTCAGAGGAAAGAAAAATGTAGCAGCAATAGGTAATTCCAAATGTCCCAACGGGCAAAGGGGGGGGGGGGCATTCTAGGCGAACACCAGGCTGGGCCGGTGCCTGAGTCTGAGTAGAGGCAGGAGGGGGCTGGGTGCTGAAGGGCCCGACTCTTCCTCCTGCCCCCCCCCATGCTGACCACGTGACCTCAGACCAATAGGGTCCAGATGAAATGGGAAGGGAGGGGTCCGCTGGGAACATGACAAGCAAATGCTGCGGTGTGAGGCGACTGGCATGTAACACTGTAACGGGCATGCGGAGCCCCCAGCCAGGCCCCGTCCCAGGAGCCAAGCTGGTGGGAACTGGAGAGAGACTGGGAGAAGCAGGAGCCAGGAGGGGGGCCCCATCCCCCCAAAGGACAGGGCCCTTTCGGCTTTGGGGAGGGCTTGCCAGGGAGAGAAACCAGGAGGGCCAGGGACGGGGGCCGCTCCCCTTCCCCCCCGGGGCAGCCCCCTCCCACACACAGGTTTGTACCCTCTTCCGTCGCCTCCCGCCCCAGGGCCCGGCCGGGCCGAGGCGGGGGTGTGGGCCAGGCCCCCCTAGACCGTGGCGCTGAGCATGGCCTCCGTCTCGGGCAGGATCTTGTTCTGGTTCGAGTCCAGGCCAAAGAACTTGACACTGAGGCCGTCCACGGGGTGCAGGACGGGGACCAGGGTGATGCGGGGGAAGGTCCGCGTGGCCAGCTCGAAGCGGCTGGTGCTGGCCAGCTCCACCGCCAGCACCTTCAGGAACAGCTTGGCCAGGTGCTTGCCCAGGCAGGTCCGCACGCCGCCGCCGAACGGGAGGTAGTGGAAGCGGCCGTCCTTGTCTTCGCTCCGCGCCTGGCCGAAGCGGTCCGGGTCGAACACGTTCACGTCTTTGAACACGGGCGCCGTGTCGTGAGTGTCCCGGATGCTGTACATGACGCTCCAGCCTTTGGGGATCTGGAAACCCTGGAGGCAGGATGGGGCAGGGTGTGGTGGTGAGGGCAGGAGGACAGATCTGAGAGGGCCCGGCCTCCCTGCCTGCCAGCCCCCCACCCGCATGTCCCCAGAGACACCCTACTGTGACCCCCTGGCCTGGCCAGCACCCTCCGCATGTCAGTGGTCTCTTACTTATAGTGTCTTGATGCAATGTCATATATGACATTTATAGCGTGTACATGCAACATAATATATGAAACTAGGCTGACTTATCTGACCCAGCCTTTGGGACGAGGTCTCTCCCATCAGATTGAAAGCTTGAAAATAAGCTCTCAGCCGAAACAGGTTTGGCTCAGTGGATAGAGCGTCAGCCTGCGGACTGAAAGGTCCCAGGTTCGATTCCGGTCAAGGGCATGTACCTTGGTTGCGGGCACATCCCCAGTAGGAGGTGTGGAGGAGGCAGCTGGTCAATGCTTCTCTCTCATCAATGTTTCTAACTCTATCCCTCCCCCTTCCTCTCTGTAAAAAAAAAATCAAATATATATATAAGAAAGAAAGAAAGAAAGAAAGAAAGAAAGAAAGAAAGAAAGAAAGAAAGAAAGAAAGAAAGAAAGAAAGAGCCGAGACCGGTTTGGCTCAATGGATAGAGCGTCGGCTTGGGGACTGAAGGGACCCGGGTTCGATTCCGGTCAAGGGCATGAACCTTGGTTGCAGGCATATCCCCAGTAGGGGGTGTACAAGAGGCAGCTGATCGATGACTCTCTCTCATCGATGTTTCTAACTCTCTCTCTCTCTCCCTTCCTCTCTGTGGAAAATCAATAAAATATAATTAAAAAAAAGAAAGAAAGAAAGAAAGAGAGAGAGAGAGAGAGAGAGAGAGAGAGAGAGAGAGAGAGAGAGAGAGAAAGAAAGAAAGAAAGAAAGAAAGAAAGAAAGAAAGAAAGAAAGAAAGAAAGAAAGAAAGAAAGAAAGAAAGAAGCTCTCAGATTGAAAACAAGGGGCATCTCCCCATCAGACTGAGGTACCCCCAGGGGGAGTCTGTTCTCTCCCATCCGCCCCAGGCAGGGCCCCCACGGCCCCCCGAGGCCCACCCCGGGCCCCGGGCTCACGTCGAGCTCGAAGGTCTGCAGCACGGTGCGGTAGCCGCCGGAGATGGGCGTGAAGAGGCGCATGACCTCCTTGATGACGCAGTCCAGGTAGTGCAGGCCGCTGAGGGTGTCCAGGCGCAGTGTGCCCTCGCAGGGGCAGCCGCCGCTGTGCAGGATGCCGTGTGCCCGCAGCTCCTCCCGAAGCTTCTCCAGCACGGCCGGGTGCTTCAGCAGCTGCATGATGAGCGACGTGCTGGCGCTGGCCGTGGTGGCGTAGGCGGCGAAGATCAGCTCCAGGGTCCCGTCCTGCAGCAGCAGAGAGGAGGGGCGCCGTTAGCCTGGGGTAACCCCCTCTGCCAGCTCCCCGAGCCTCACTGTCACTTAGCTGGGCCCTGCCGCTTCCTCCAAGCTCGTGGTGCTGGAACATTTGCGCCCCGATGGACACAGGGCAGAGGGTCAGGCCCTGGACTCAGCGGGGCAGGGGCACTGGCTGGCAGTCCCCTGGGTGGGCCCACTCCTCACTCACTGCTGGATCCGGGGCCGGGAGCCCCAGCAGCCTGGTCCGTGCAGTGAGCTCAGAGGAAAAAGAAAACATCCCCAGGAGCCAGGCCCTAGGCAGGTAGGTGGGTGAGGTGGGGGTTCAGGGTCAAAACCCCCACCTTCCCAGTCCCAGCTCCTTCCACTGCCCCTGGGAGGACATGAGGGTCTGGGAGGCAGTCTGAGGCCACACCCACGAGGACCTGGGAGGCACAGCAGTGAGAAGGCGGAGGGCTCTCCTCCAGAGGAACCTGGGGAGCAGGACCCCTGGGCCATGGGTGCCCCCTGGAAAGGGCCCAGCAGGTGGCCTCAGTCCAAGCCCTACATTTTACAAATGTGGACGCCCGCCGGGCTCGGAGAGGAGAGGAAAGGGGCCTGGGTCCCTTGCTTGCCATGGCTCTACCTCTGAGTCCAAAGCATCTTGTGAAATGGGCACATTACTGGGCTCCTTCCTGGCTCACCAGGAGGGAAACTGAGGCTAGAAGAGGGGGAGCAAAGATGGGGGAGGGGGTGTCTGTATTAAGTCTCCATCGGCTCCTGGCAAGCTTGGGGGGGTGGGGTCTACAGGAGGTGAACTAATGGGGCCCTTTCCAGGCGGGACACCCCTAGGAAAGGCAGGCAGGAAGCCCTCCCACAGCCCTCTGTGGACAGTGTCGGTGCCGGCAGCCCACGGGGCTTCCTCCGTGCCAAGCAGGCTTGGAGGGCGTCAGAGGCCACCACCTGGGAAAGGATGGAGGGACGGGCGGAGGCCCGAGTTCGTTCCAAATCTAAGGACCAGGCTGCCCAGAAGGTGGCTTCTCCTCTGGGTCTGAGTTTCCCGAGGTGACCCCAGGGCTCTTGGACCATTAAATCACACTGAAATCCCAGAGATGGGGGAGGGGAAGAGGTGGACCCGCGCCACTGGCTCCGGGTCCCTGCCGAGGGCGCTAAGGGCCAGCTTCTCACATCTCTTCCCGGATGATGGGTAGGACTGGGCGGAATGGAGAGCCTGGGGGCCGTGTCATGGGGACCATGCACCAGCCGGACGGGGTGCAGTGACTCATGAGCAGGGGGATGCTCCGAGTCCTCCTACCAGACCCCGGGCAGGGCAGGCAGAGACATGGTCTCCCTCCGCCAGTGCTGAGACACCACCGCAGCTGCTCAGAAACTCTAGTCCCTGTGGAGGTAGAGGGGCCGGCGCCACCGCACCACACCCCCCACCCGGGGGCGGGGGGCAGCCCCGTGTGGAGCATGGACGCCGTGCTGCCCGCTGGGAGGCCCCACCTTCAGCTCCTGCATGGTCATCTCCTTCCCGTGCTCCTTGCTGCTCTCGATGAGGATGTCCAGTGCGTCCGAGTAGTCCTTGCCCTGCGTGCACTGCAGCTTCTCCCGGATCGCCTTTTCCAGGCCCTTCTGGAGGGTCTGTCGTGCCTGGATGCCCTGCGGGGAGAAGGGGGCAACCTGTCACCCCAGGGGAAAGGCGGGGCCACCGAGGACCTCCTCCCTAGGTGGGGCAGGTTGGGGGCTCCTAGGGGGAACATTCCTGTTCTGCAGAGACTGCACTGGAGGCTCCCCCCACCCCGCCCCTGCCCTCCCGCCGGCAAGCCCTCCGGCCCTGTGGCTGGCGCTCACCCGCCGGTAGCCGCTGAAGGGCAGGTCGACGGGCAGGGAGAAGACGTTCTCCACAAACTGCTGATAGACCTCGAAGAGGTGGCCGAGGTCCTCCTCAGGGATGCTGAAGCCCAGCAGGACGCGGATGGCCATGCGGAAGGTGAGCTTCTGGGCCTCCTGGTACACGTTGATGGCCTCGGGGTGGCTGCTCCAGGCGCGCAGCGTGTCCTGGATCACCAGCTGGATCTTCGGCAGGTAGCTCTCCAGCGCCTCGTGGCTGAAGATCTTGGAGAACACCTGAAGGGGAGAGGCAGGCGGCGCTGGTCAGAGGGGCTCGGGCTGCCGTCAGGGCTCCCCGGGGGCCTGGCTGGGGCACAGGGCATGTGGCTGTGACTGGGAAACACTCTGGCCACACCCCGCCTTCCGTCTCCCGGCCTGTGTCTCGGTGGCAGGTGGGAGGGCAGGCGGGGATGAAAACGTCATTCATTAGAACTGTTCCTCGGGGACCTTCCACATCAGTCTCGGGGTGACCAGCGCTCTGATCTTCTGTCTGGAGCTCAGGAAAGCTTGTGCTCCAAACAACGGCAAAGCCCCGGAGGCTGGGCAGTCAGCTGCCCCCAGCCACGGGGGCAACACAGAGGGGTCTGGGTGGGGCTGGGGGAGGCAGTGGCCCATTCCCGAATGCCCAGGCCCCAGGGCAGAAGCTTCCAGGAGGAGGGAACAAAGGTGAGCAGGATGGGCGAGGACTAGGTGGCTCTTCTGCTCACTGACGGGAGAGAAGAGAGTCTGAGGCTAGCCGGCGAGTCAGACTTCCTGAGACCCAGATTGGCTCTCCCTCCCTGGGACCCGGGTACAGAGTGGAGATCTGAGGGAGTCTGTGCCATCGAAAAGGTTCCGTGCGGCCAGGTCTGGCGGCAGGAGGATGGGGGCGAGGCTTTCCGCCTCAAAAGACCACAAGGGCTAGCAGAAGCCCTTTCTAATTCCTTGCATCTTCCTGGTCCATTGTAAGTAGCCAAGGAGACCCTGTGGCCCTGCTTTCAGTCCTCCCGGTGCCTCAGCCACCCCTCCTGCCCCTCCTCACCCAGATGCCCCTGCTGCCGCCAAGGTGATACAAGAGGGGAGGATGTTAGTTTATTTGCTGATGGCCTGTGGGTCTCACTGGTAAGCGACACCCTCCACTCCCCCCCACCCCCCACCCCCCCCACACACACCCAGAGTCTGGAGCAGAAGCGGGGGTGCCCTCCCGCCAGCACCAAGGGGAAGGTCCTGGGGAAAGGAGGGAGAGGGGCAGCTCAGGGGGAAGGAGGCAAATGTTCCTCCAGCCCCCCCACCCCCACCCTGCCCCACGCAAACCACACACACGCGCCCGCCCGCCCCGCCTGCCCCCCAAACACAACCGCCACACAAACTGTAAATGTGAGAATTTCCCCTGCAGTCAGCTCGAGGAGGAAAAGGTAACATTTTCCTGGCCTCGGCCCTGCATGGCTAATGGGAGGGCTGGTTTGCAGAAATAACAGTGCTGGCCCTTCAGTGGCCCAGCCAGGCACTCACAATAGCACTTTCATTCCGAAATTCCCGGTGGGCAGAGGGGGGGAGGGAGGGGAGGGGAAGGAGGCCGCTGGTGAGGGGCAGAGAAGCCGCACTGTTTGGGGTTGCTCCTGCTGGGAAGGTACAAGGGCCCTGGGAGGTGGGCGAGGGCAGCCCAGGCCCGGATGGGTCACGCACACCTTGTCCAGTTCGGGGTCCCAGGAATTTCGGGGGGGGGGGAGGGGAGGGGGCTTTGGCTGCCACCTCTCCCTTCACAGGGTTATGGGTACAGGCAGTGTCTCTGCCTCAGCCCTCCACCGGGCATCAGAAGGTTTCCAGGTTCAGCTCTTGGTCAAAAAAAAATCGTACGGGGTGGGAGTGGGGGCCCTGTCCCCAGACCCCAACCCTGGCCAACTCAGGGGCCTCACAGAATAGCAAGGAGCCCGCAGGGTGAGCAGGGGGGCACGTGGGAGCTAAGCAGGCTCGCTGGGAAAGCAGGAAGGTAACTGTAGCCACCAGGCCCCGGCGGGAGGCTGAAGATGGGGACAGGCAAGGACAGAGAAGCCACGCCTGGCCCAGAGCCAGCCAGCCCGGGCAGGCGGAGGGGTGCTGTCATGGAAAGCATGGCGGCAGGGGATGGCCAGGCCCCCCGTGCAAGGGAGACCCGGGCTCCAAGGTGGGCATGTAGAGGGGCGATGGGGCAGAGGCCGCACTGACCAGAACCGGCAATGTCCATGCCAGCTGGGCCCTCAGAGGCAGTGGGTGGTGGGAAAGGCAGGCTGGGTGCCTAGAGGCCTGATGTTAACCCCAGATCATCCACCAACTTGCTGTGCGAGCTGGCCAAGCCACCCCCAGGCTCGGCGTCCTCGTCTGTGAAATGGCGAGGTTGAGCCTGGCGACACCTTTTTTTCCTCTCAGTGTACACAGCACATAAACGCCAGGACCCGTATGTCCCTACGCAGATGCTATCCCCGCAGAGAAGCCCAGAGCCTGGCACTGCATGAGTCCCCGGTGCCTGCCAGGCCCCCACTCACACACCCTACAAGGGCTAGGGTGGCCCAGGAGGGACCATCTCGGGCTGACCACAAGGGGAGCTCTCAGGGCCCCCAATGCATCCTCAGGAGTGGCCAGGCTGGACCCACTGGCAAGCCCTGCCCTGCCCCAAAGGTTGCATTCCCTGCGCCCTCTAGCGATGGCCGCCTGAATAGCGCCTTCTCCAGCCTTGGGGAGGGCAGGGGGGACTCAATGAGACCTGGGACTGAGCCCAGGGGCTGAAAGGGCCAGTAGCCTGCACCTCAGGAAACCCACAAACACCTTGAACTTGCAGGCCTTCGCCCTCCATCCCCCAGGGCTGGGCTTCCAAAAAGAGAACTGCAGCCAGGAGCAAGGCTCTTATCCTGACCCAACAAGAAACCTAACTTCTGGAGTCTCTTTTTCACTTGGACGTCCCAGGACTCTCCTCAGAGCCCCCTGAGCTGGAGAAACTACCCAGATGAGAAGCCGTGCAAAGGCAGTTTCGGGCCCTCGGGGACCAAGGGGCTTTGCTTGCGAGTCACCAAGGCCAGGCCCCTGCCTCTGGCCCGGCTGCTCGGCAGGCACTGGGGCCTCCCAGGCTCCAGGGAAACGCCAGGGCCTCATCCCTGGGTCTGTGCCCAGGGTCAGTAACGGGGCACTTCCCGGAGCAGGGGCAGCCCCCACCACACGGGCCAGGAGGAGGCGGAGGTGCTGGCCAGGGCAGAGGGAGGCAGCCGGGGGCGGGCGGGGTCAGGACGCGGGCATGTGGGAAGGTGCCCAGTGGAGCCACTCAGGGGGAAGAAAGGAAGGGCTCCCGGCCCCCAGAGCCGCCGTCCCTGACCACAACAGTGACTGCGGCCAGGGCGGCTCTGTCCCCCTCCGGCTTCCCTTGGAATCCCCGCAGCGAGCCAAGAATGCCGGACAGAGGTCACCGGGAGCGGGCCTGGCCCCGGCACAGCCCCGCGGAGGGAGCAGCAGGTATGGACTCTCCGCCAGGGTTAGAGCCAGGGGAGCAGGGTGGAGGGTCGGGGAGACCTGGGAACCTCACCACAGGCTGGGCGGGCTGGGCTCCTGCCTGTAGGATGTGCTTGGACCCTCTCTCCTCCCCACCCCCACCCCTACCCGTGCTGGTTCCCCCACCAACACCGTGGCTCAGGAGTCCACCTCCCTGTTCTCCTTCTCCCCCGAATGAGAGAGGATGCCCCACTGAGGTGGGAAGGGGCGGGAGCGGGGACCACCAAGGGGCTTGTCAAAGTTCAAATTCCCCGTAATTGATTTTACAAATCCTTCCTCCTCCCCGCTCCTGCCTCTCACCCAGTGCCCCCGGGAGGGGGGTCACTCCACGAGCCCCCACGGCCCTGCACACCGAGAGGCCCAGCCCCCTAACCTGCCCTTCTCTGCTGGCCGCTGCGGATGGACAGACAGATGGATGGGCAGCCTCCGGAGCTGGAGGAGCCAGAGAGGGAACCCACTCCCTGGGCCGGTGACTCAGACTGGGAGGAATGGCAGCGGCTGCCCGGAGGGTGGGGGCCCGGGCAGGCCACCCTGCCAAGCCACCGGAGCCGTGGCCTTCGGAGTGGAAAGAATAACAGAGGGCACGCAGCCACCGGGGCAGCTGTCCGCGCCGCAGAGGGGTGACGCCGAGGTGTGTACTTTATGCTCACGTAGGAGGGAGCACCAGAGAGGACGTCATCTTCCCAGCCGCCTGGCATTTCCACGGGGCCCGGGCTGCACCCTGGCTGCCTCCTGTGCCAGCCCCTGCTCAGCCACCCCCCCCCCTCTGGTTGGGAGGGGCTGGCCCGGACCTCCGAGCCTGTGCGTGTCCCTCGGGGTTCCCGGCATCCATAGAAGCGCTATACCTGTCCCCCATTTGCCTCCGGCTCTAATCACCTCCCCTGATGCTTCCACACACAACGAGAGCGCCCAGTGGGGAGAGGAGGACAGCACTTGGCAGAGCCACATGCGCTGAAAAGGTCTGCCCACTTCTTCCTCTCTCAGACATAGTGAAAGCTGAGGCCCAAAGGGGAAGGGCCTCCCAAGGTCATGTCCAGAGGCCTGATGGGCCACACCCACCAGGGTCCCTGAACCCCCTGCCTGGCACCACTCCTAGCCCCCACCAGGCCCCCTACTCAATCCCAATGCTCTGACAGAGCCCTGAGGGGGACCCTGCTCTCTAGGCCAAGTCAATTCTAAGGGCAAGGCCAGCTGTCCTGGCTACTCCTCTGTTTTGCTCTCAGTATTTCTCAGCCCCTGGAGACACGCTCCCAGTGCCTGCCCTTCTGCCTGGGCACCTGGAATAGATACATTGGTGGCAGAAGGGGCTCAGGGCCAGAGCAGACCCCAGCTAGGCACCCACCCCCTCCCCACCAAGGCCACACTTGTCTCCCAAGGCTGAAGAGTGAACAAGCATCACGGGCACAGACCCCTCCCCATCCTGGGAGAAGGACACAGAACCGAGGGCAAAGGGAGGGGTGGCAGCCCGCCCCCAACCAACCCACCCTCCCACTGTTTGGCACAAGGGCATGCAGGAGGCTCCGCTCACTCCCCGGCGCTCTGGAGGCTGGCTGTGGGCTCCTCCCTCACTGACCTTCAGGGACATCCTTCCTGCCACCTGTCCTCTCAGTGGCCCCGGTGCCCACCAGCTGGTGTCACAGTGACTTTTGGGTGATGGACTTCAGCTGGGGGACAAAGGTCTATGCTAGGAGGCCCTCCCAGTAAGAGAGGTGCCTGGCTATGCCACCTCCCTCCTTCCCATTCCAAGCAGGTGGGAACGTGTGCTCTGAGCTGAGCTGAGCCTCGTGGACGTGACTTTGAAGTCACGGGTCTGAATGCCACCTACAGACAGGCCTGGCTGGCCGCCCCCAGGACCCTGTGACCATGGTCCCCCTGGCCCTGCCTGCCTGTGGAAGCCCCACATAAATGCACAGAGTTTATTATGAGAGGAATATAGTGACCCTGAGCCTAAGTCCCGCCCCTGCCCAGGATGGGGCCTGAAGGGTTAGTGAGAGTCAGTGGGTGGGTCTCTTAATCCCTCCCTCCAAAGCCTGGGAGCCCGGGCCCACCTCAGCCTCTGTCACAGAAGTCCTTGTAGCCAGGGATCTGGGAAGGAGAGGCGAGAAGAGCACTCCTGGGTCTCCCCAGTCCAGGGGTCCCAGGCCAAGTGTATCTCTGAGGCCTGGGAAGACCACTGTCGGTCGGGAGTGCCCTGAAGCTTCTGGCCCTTCAGTGCAGAGACCCAGCCCTCTCTCTGAGAGAGGATATGTCTGACAATCCCCTTTCCCCCCCTCATTCCTACCAGACTCTGTCTGCTCTTCCAGGACAACACCCCAGTCTCTCTGCTCACAGAAGGAAGAGGGGGTGGCCCTCCTCCATCGATCAGGGGCCCTCCAGGTGGGGGGAGTATATAACAAGGGAGGAGAGGCAGAGTTTGGTGGTGGCTATAGGGATATAGGCCTGGCTTTCAGAGAGGACTATTTTAGGCTGGGAAAGACTTTTTGAACTTTCTCCCTGGCAACCCCTCCCCTCTTGGCCCGAGACAACCAGGGCAACGGGGGCAAACACCTGGATTCCGTGATGGCCGTGAGGAGTCCCTTCCGAGAAGAACATCTGGCCAGACCTCCCAGAGAAGGAGCGGGTCCCCAGCCCCAGTGGAAACAGTGACGCTCCTCGTTACCCCGCCAGCTGGGCCCCAGCACACCTGGGCCTCGCTTCCTGCGAATGCAGAATGCATCCTAACCAGGCCTGGGCCTGGCCCAGCAGCCCCCTCTCCAGGCACGTCCCTGACGGCAGTGGCAGTTTGAGCTGGAGAAGGCAGAGTGTGGCGCCTGCCCCCTCCCTGGCTGTGTTGGGTCCACTGGGTGTTGGGTCCAGCAGATTGGCCATTCTCTCCGGGACCAACATGTGCCCCTGAGCATTCTCCTGGCATCCCTCTGGCTATACTCTGCTTTTTGAGGGCAGGGGCCATGTTCCCTGCTTTGTATTTGTACCTAACCCAAGGTCTCCTGTTTAGTTCAGAAAGCTTAAGTTCATGGAACACCAATTAGAGAGATTATCCAGGCACTTACTACAGGACCACGTATATACATGTCACATGGCAAGCACACAACTAGCACACACCAAGGGAGGGCCCTGCATTGGTTCCCAAGCCTGTGTCAGGATGAACTTCATCATGGCTGCTCCCCATGCCCAGGAAGCTAGCGGGCAAGGCAAGTGTATGCCCCATAGGGGTCCTCAGTTTTTGCTGGCAGACCTATCCCACCACAGCCCTCTCTCCCTCTCCCTGTGTATTCCTCTGACATTGGCATCTGGCTCCTCTTCCCCTCTTCCCCAATGAACCATGTAGCCCAAAACCTGGGGGCTTTCCGGGCAGGCCCTCCCCATCTGGCAGCCCAAGGCCAAGGCAAGCAGAGGGTGGCTCGGGGAAGCTCTCTGAACGCCCAGGGGCTCACACTCAGGTCTTGACCAAGCCTTCTTCCTGCCAGGATCCTGTCCCATCCCCACTCTCCAGCTTCTGCCAGGCCCCAGTGGGCAGGATTGAGTAATGCCCTGAAGGAAACACCTCTTCCCAGGGAGGAACGCTCAGGACTCCACTCCCTTTGCTATGGCTCTTGGTCTGAAGTCTCTCAAATGTTCTGAGTCTCAGTGACCCCTTGCCCCACCCCCGTGAAGGGGAAAAGAATTACTTTCTTGTCAAAGACTCTATATAGATAAAAGGAGAAGCAATCACATTCTTTGGACCTGGGTTTCTGAGTCTCGGCCTCCCTCCACATTCTTTGGGATGAGCTTTTGGTGGAGCCACAAACACTAAGAAAAAAAAAAAAAGTGTCCAAGATATTTGAAAAGCCCCCATGTCTGAGCCTGAGCCTACAGCCCCCTCCCAGCCCCTCCTCCAATCTGACCAGGGCCCTGTTAGTGGCTTCCTGCTCTAGTAAGGCCATAAGAGAGCAGACTTTGTGAGTCCCTTTCCTGTCCTGAAATACAGGCTTTATGGGAGGAGGGGTGCTGGTGGTGAGCGCAGACCAGTCCACTCCGTGCGGATTTTCCTCCTTTTGTCTGCTCCGGGGAACCACTCTTCACAGACCTTTCAGAAGACATCAAATCCTGTAAGATGAACTCCTACGTTCCCTGAGACCACCTCACACGCAGCCTTCCTTCCTGCAGAGGCAGAGGGGGTCTGCCCCCAGTCTCCCCTCTCCTCACTCCTGGGCTCTGCCATGCTACCCAGGCATCAGAGGCTGCCTCTGGGTTTCCTTGGGGTTTCCAACCTGAGTACTCTGACCCAATGGGAGGGGAGGGGGGAAAGGGGGAAGGAGGGGAGGTCGTGCAAGTCTCTCCCACCCCCTTCTGGACGCTTTAAGCCCGCCGCCAGCTCCCCGCCCCGGCGGCTCAGCTTTCGGGTTACTGCAGTTCAAACAGCACGTGCCGCCCGCGCTCCGGGCCGCGGCGGCGGCGGCGGCGGCGGCGGCGGCTGGGCCCCGGGAGGGGGCGGGGCGGCTCGCTCCGGCGCGCTGGCTCTCCTCCTTCGCGCCTCTTCCAGGCGCTCGGGAAATCCACTGGATAAACACCCACTTTCTCTTCCTCTTTACGGGAGGGGGTAGGTGCGCTTTGATCCCCCACCCCGCCCCCGCTGCTCTCCCATCCCCTCGTCCTCCCCCCCTTCCCGCCCCACCGTCCAGACCCACGCGCGCTGTGGCCCAAATGTCCCCCGGCCCCTCCTAGACAGGGCCCTGGAACCGCTGCGCATCAGGTGCCCCACCCCCGCCTCTCCTCCTCCCCCCACCCTGCTGGCGTCGCCATGAAAGCAACCTGTGGCAGGCAGGCAGGCTACCTTTGATTTTTAGAAGGACCCATCGAATTCACGGGGGAGGAACATGGCAAGAAGGGGAGACCCAGCCATTGTCCACTTCCCCTTCTTTTCCCAGTTTTGGGGAGCACTGTAAAGATTGGCGTTGGAGGTATGTCTCCATCCCCTCATGCCCAAGCTCTGTCCAAACCACCCCTCAAAAGCCACTCTTTGGACCAACATTGGGCCAGCAAGAGGGCCGGCCCGGCGGAGGCCTGTGCAGGCCCTCGACCCCTTATCCCAGCAGGAAACCCCCAGGTCGGTGTGCGTGTGCACGTGGGGCCCAGAGGAGGCGGAGACGTCCCCGGGAGCTCCGAGGACCCCATTCCCCAGGAGGGACGCCCGGGGAGGAGGGCGCGCGGGGGGAGGAGGGCGCGCGGGGCTGCGGGCTCTCACCTTGCGCTTGTTGCGGTGGATGTCGCCGATGGAGTTGGCCACGGTGTTGGGGCCCAGCAGCATGCGCGTGCTGCGCGGCCACTCGGTGCTCACCAGGTGGTGCTCGCCCATGAGGATCTTGCGCACGTTCTCGGCGCCCGTCACGCGGATCAGCGGCCGCCCCAACAAGTGCGTCTTGAACACGTTGCCGTACTTCTCCCGCCGCGAGGACTGGAAGCCGGAGCCCTGCGGGGGCCGCAACAGAGACCTCAGTGAGGGCGCGCTTCCCTGGAGGAGGCTACCAGAGGCCCAGCTCCCGGGACCAGGGGGCGGGAACGTGGGGGGGACCGGACACACCACTCAAAGCACCAGTACCCTGACCTCTTCTCCCCCACCCCCACCCCAACACACAAGCACGCGCTTAGGTTTTATTTTTCATAGCAAGCACAAGGACTGGGAAGTAGAGCCCAGGGGATAATAAATAATACAAGGAGGAGGGAGGGGGGCCCAGGGGCACCTCCGCTAAAGCTTTTTTTTTTTTTTTTAGTAACAACTGTCGGGAGGGAAAAGGGATCCCAAACAGACGGCAGCAGCACCCGAAGCTAAGAGCCTCCGTCACCCTTCTTCCTACCACCCCCAACTCCGCCGCCGCCTCTGGAAATAAATATTTCCAGGCTCCCGGCCACCGGCTGGCAAGACCCCGCGGGGTGGCCGCGGGCCAGGGGTTATTTATAGCGGCGCGCGGTCCGGGCCGCGGCGGGCGCTCGGTCGGGGGCGGGATCGCCGCCTCGGGTCTCGGGCGTGGACCGCGCAGGGACCCGGTGGCCCCCGGCGGCTCTTGCGAGGTCTGTGCACGACCTGAGAGCCGAGGTTTTCCTAATGCAACGTGTGCCCTGGAAATAACTGGAAAGGACTCTCGTCGCCGCCCTGGAGCTGGGAGCCCTGGAGCTGGGGACGGAGCGAGAGGAAGGCGCGTCCCCGGGGCGGGGCGGGCGGGCGGCCGGCGCAGGTAACCGGATCCCCCGCAGCGGCCGCGGCGGCGGAGCGGAAGGCAGCCAGGCCCGAGCCCCGGGCGCGCTCGGAGGAGCCGCTCGGTGGGGGCCGGCCCCCGGAGGGCACCGGAAACCACGGAGACCTCCGAGGGGCGGGGGCGGGGGCGTCCCGCTCCCCTTTGACGTAGGAACGCTCTACCCCACCCCGCATTAACCCTTCTCCTGCCGGGGCCGCCCCAGGTGCCCAGGGGAGGAGCGCCACCTGTCCCGCTGCCTGGCCTCCCTGCCAACCGGAGTGAGCTGCCACCGGCTCCGGGCTCCCCCCGGGCCGGGCACGCCCCGAGGGACAGCTTGGCTTCCCCTGTTCCCCGGGTGGGTCCCCCTGCTCACTTTCCTTTCTCCCATGAAAAAGTCTTCTCCGGCTACATGTGTACACACCCCGGCGCCGCCGAAAAGTGACTCTGCAGAACCCGAGCCCTGATCGCTTTTCCACATGCGCCTCCGGCCCGGCGCGCGACCCGGAGCGAGCCTGGGGCTCCCGCGCCTCCGGCGGGGGCTGGGCCCGGGACGCCGCCCCGTCCCGCTCCGGCTCCCGCTCCCGTGCCGGCGGGGCGGGGAGGACGGCCCCCACCCTGCCGCCGCCCTAGACGGCGCCTACCCCTTTAAGAGGGACCTCAGAGAGGGTGGAGGTGCGACCGAGCCGGGGTGAGGAGCGGGGTTCCCTCCCTCCGTCGGGCTGTACCGTCTCGCTCGCTCAGTCTGACTCTCGTCTCTCCTCTCCTCCTTCCCCTCTGTTTTTCTTTTCTTTCGACACACAAAAGTCGGGCTGTGAATTTTCCGAGGTCGCCGCCGCCTCTCTCCCGCCACCACCTCCTCTCCCCCCCCAACCCCCCAGCCTCTGATCTGCCTTAACTATAATTAAAGTGCGTTTTTTGTGGCATTAATAAAGAGTTATTTGTCCGCCGTTTCCACGGCCTTCACAAAGAGGACTTTCATAGGGGCGGCCGCTCGGGCCGCGAGTCCAATTTATACAAAAAATGTTGTATTTTTAGCCCTGGGCTCTGTTTAGATGGCGCGCGGTGGAAACGGAGAGCCCTTGGAGGTCCCCCCCGTAAAATCTGATAAATGACTCCGAAAAAATAAAGCTGGGATTCAGAAGGCTCCCTTTAACCCCTTCAGCACTCCTCTGCACGCACCCCCCCCCCCCATCTTCCTCCCACCGCGGGGTCTAGGACCCCAAGGCCAAATGGATGGGGAGGCGCAGGCCTGTTTCCGCCTCCCCATCTCCTGCGCTGGGCTGGAAGCTGAGCCCCCAGGGCCCTTGTGGGATTCTGAGAAAAGGTCAGGGGGACATGGGGGGGGGGGCAGGGAAAGGTCAGGAAACAGGGGTGGGGGTGGTGACAGACCGCGGATTCCGCAGATTGGCTCTAACGAGGCAGGAGCTTATGCCCAAGTGAGTTATTTTATTTCCTAAATTCTCGGCCAAAAGCCTAGACCACCGCTGCAGTTAACCCTTTAAAAATTGTGGTGGCTTGGGATATGCTCCGGGGATTTCTTTATTGGGGGGGGGGGGAGTCTCATTGGTTAAAGAGAACCCCACCGGGCTGCAGGAACAACCCCCCAAAGAAAAGGGGTGATTCTGGGGCTTGGGGGAGACCACAGCATCTCTCTGCGCCCAGGCTCCGCTGACACTTGGCGCCCAGCGGATGTCAGTGTGTGTGAGCGCGAATTGCACGCGTCTGTTCATTCCAAGCCAAGCTTTCTCCCTTCTAAATCCACAGGTCTTTGCGTCCACCTCCCCCCACCTCACCTCTCCCCGCCGGGGATGTCAGGGCGTCCATCCTCCTCCTAGCCCTCCCCAGCGTCCGCCTGACAAACCCAAGCGCGGGAGCGCACACAACACACCTCCTGTGGTACACCTAGGGACGCCCCCCTCCTCCCCAAGAAAGAGACCTGGTGTGTATCACATCGCCAACGCGATTGTCTAGCACTTGACGGAGTTTAACTCCAGGTTAATCCCCCCCATGACCTACCTGGGTCCGGTTCCCGGCGCGCACGCCCCCTTTATCACCAGCGGGGTTGGGTGTTGGGTCGTGCGCATCCGGCAACACACACACATGCACTCTGCGGACCTCGCACACACCTCTCCCCGGGTACACACCCCTGCCGCACTGTCCTCACCCAATAAGTAAATAGACCCTTTTCCCCGAAAGCAGAGAAACCTCGGGTCTCAGGCTTCTCATTTTCCTCAGGTCACTTCCTTCCTCTCCCACCACAAAACACACACTTTCTCCGACCTGACCCAGGGTGGTGGTACCTGGAGCAGCCAACCGAGAGGGCTGATCTTTAACAGGCAGTGCTGACTGCCTTTACCCCCACCCCCCTTCCTCCCGGACTCAATTTTCGGGTCCCAATGGCACCGCCAAAGCCCAGGAAGCCCGTGGTGACTGGGGCCTGCAGGGCAAAGGGGAGGCTAAAGCGGGCGCCCCATGCAGCTCTGCCCCATGCCCCTCTGCAGAATAGCCTGCCACTGCGAAGAGCCGGTCTTGGAACCCTTCTAAGCTCCGGAGACCTCTCCGATCAGGCCCCCTGAACCTGCGCCCCCTGCGCCCCTGGGCTTGGGAACCGCGCCGGCCGCGGGCCGGCGAGGGCAGCCGGGGAGGCGCGGGGAGCCTGGAGGGAAGGGGCGTGGCGGGACCCGTGCCTTCGGGCTCCCGGCGCCCCCTGGCCGGCCCGCGGCGCCGTCAGCCCCGGCGCTCGCCGCTAGCGGACCGACCCGGAGAGCCGCGGAGCGCGCGCCTTACCTGCAGCAGCCAGTGGCCGGTCTCTCCGATGAGCGGGAAGCCCATGGAGCCCTTGGGGATGGGCAGCTTGCAGCTCTTGTCGCGGGTGGCAGCCCAGCGCAGCTGCCACAGCTGCTGCGACACAGCCAGCAGCAGCGTCACCGACACCAAGCACGCGGCGAGGGTGGCCAGCGCGGACACCAGCTCCAAGCCCTCAAAGAGCATGTTGGCGGCCGCTCGGGGGATTGGCTGTGCGGCCGCGGCGGGGGAGGGGAGGGCCGGCCGGACGGCGAAGGGCTGGAGCGGCGGGGGAGGGGGGACTGCGGCCGCCGAGGGTCCTGGCACCTCCAGCCGAGACAGAGCAGGAGGAGGAAGGGGCCGAGAGAAGGGGAGAGGGGAGTGGAAGCGTCGAGGGGGAGAGGAGCGGGAAGGGGGAGGAAAAAAAATGCCTAGAAGAGAGAGAGAGAAGACACGAGGCGACTCGGAGTGTAACTTTGTTTGCTTGTTTGTTTGTTTGTTCCCTTATAGCGGACTTAAGGGCAGCTTGCTGGAGGGGATGGGGAGATGAAGCCTTGAATCAAGCTGGTGGGTGAGCTCTCCCCGCAACCATCACACTCGGAAAACTTGGGAAAAACTTTGTCCAGCGGGACCCTCTCTTGTAAACCCCTTCCCCTGCTCAGGGGAGGGGAAAAAAAGAAGGGGAAGAAGAGAGATAGAAAATGCGATCGATGGGTCAAAAGTTTCTCCCTCTCAAATTCCTAGGTGGAATAAAGGGGGGGGGAAAATCCTGAATCCAAAAATTCCAACGAACCCAGAAACTTGGGGGACAAGGGGAGAGGCTCCCCAGCCCAAGCGAGTGGAGAGGCCGGAGCCCGGCGTCCCCGGGCTGCCCCAGGCGCCGCGGCACCCCCGGAGCGGGCACGGGCGGGAGGGCGAGGCGGCGCGGCGGCCGGAGCGCGGGTGCGGAGCCGGCGGGCGGACCTCGGCCGGGACGGGACGCGGCCGGCGACAGAGCCCCGGGCGGGCGGGCGAGCGCTGGGGCGGCGGCGGCGGCGGCGGCGGCGGGCGGGAGGGGTGAGGCGGGGTGGGGTTGGGGGAGGAGGTGAAAACCCGAGCTGGGCTATTGTATCAATTAAGAGAAAAGGCAGTCCGTCCCGGGACGCAGGCTCTCTCGGCTCTGGAGTTGCTGCTGGGGAGAGAAAGAGGGAGGGAAAAAAAAAAAAAAAAAAAAAGAATGAAAGGGGGGAAAGCAGGAGGCAGGATTTCAGGGCTGGTGGTTTTAAAAGCTTCTCTCAATGTGAATTTGAGTCCAAAGCCAGGCGATGCGTGTGTTTATATAGAGGCGGGAGGCTGCGCCGTGGGCGTCCCGCCAGCCCCCCTCCCCGGCGCAGCGCTCACAAAGCCGGAGGCGTGGTGAGAGGCCGGCGGCCCGAGCGTGTGAGCGCCCGCCGCCCGCCCCGCCCCGCCCGCCCCGCGCCCGCCGCCCGCCCGGGACCCACTTGTAGCCGCCGCCGCCGCGGGATCAAACTCAGTTCACCTCTCGCCTCCTCTTCCTTCTCCCGGGCGTCTCGCGGATCCCGGCACCTACAGACGGACGAGAGGACACACACACACACACACACACACACACACACACACACACACACACACACACGCGGTGCGCACTCGCACGGTGCCTGCCTGGCTGCTAGGCTACTTCCCTCCCTCGTTCCCTCCCTCCCTCCCCCGGTGTCCCCGGCCCCCTCCTCCCGCCCTGGGCAGTCCAGCGCGGCCGGCGCCCCTGCAGCGGAGGGCTCGGGCCGGACCCCCCCTCCACGGAAGGGCCCCCCAAAACCCTGAACCTGTCTGTGCTCAGGATCCTGAGCTCCAACCCCGGGGAACCCCGCCGGCTCCTATCCTGGGGAACCCCAACCCTCCGAGGACAAGGTCCTCCCCCATCCCATACGCCTCTTACCCTAGGAGACCCCAACGTTCCCCTTTCCACCTCCGCGCGTCCCGGGCCGCCGGCCCCGCAGCCCCTCCTCGGGGACACCCGGACGCCCTCTAACTTTGAGGTCCCCTCCGCCCCCCGCAGCGTCGGAGGAGCCCGGTGGCCGGTCCGGTGAGTGTCCCGCGGCGGGACAAATGCGGTGGCCCGGGCCTCTGGAGGCTGGAGGAGTCGGATACAAACGTTCATTGATACAAACGGGTAAATAAACACTCCGGGGAGCGAGCGCGGCACCTTCTCCCAGCCGGTCTCCGAGGGCCCGGCGCGCGTGCCTGGGCGAGGGGTGCGTGTGGCCCTGGGACGCACCTGTGTGCGTGTGTGTGTGTGTGTGTGTGTGTGTGAGAGAGAGAGAGAGAGAGAGAGAGTGTGTGTGTGTGTGTGTGTGTGTGTGTGTGTCCCCGCGCGCGCGCGCACTCACGCGCGTGTCCCTGGGCCGGGGAGCTGTGGTGTGCGCCTCGGGATCTGTGTGCCCTCTGTGGTATGTGTGTCTGTGCATCCTTGCATCCGTCTGTCATCTGGCCTCTCCACCGGCGTGTCTAGGACACACGGAGCTGTGCGTGCCAGCTAGCTAGTGTGCCTGGCTCGCTCTCTCCCGCCGGTGCCTCCTGTTTTCCCAGCCCCTGGTCTCTGTCTGTCACTTTTGCACTCCCGGAGCGGAGGACCTGCCATCCCACCTTCAGTTCAGAACGGTGTGCATGTAAGTGGAACTAGACTCCCCTCTGGAAACCTCCCATGCCCCCAATACGAGTTCGGTCTTAGAGTTCACAGGGAGAGAACGTGTGTGAGCGCCTATGGGGCGAGCCTATGTGCTGTCCCTCTCTCCTCTGCATGAGCGCTTCCCAGGCTGCTGTGTGGATGGGTGCAGATTATAAAGCTGCTCTCAGGCTTCTAGCGCTGGGTCATCTGTCTCCGCTCTCACTCTCTGCCCTGGAACCCCACCTGGTGGACAGTTATAGTACGACAGGTTCGGAGGGAAGCTGTGCCTGCTCCCCTTCCCTCCATCTCCTTTCCTGTGGGAGATCGCCCCTAGAGGACCTGCTTGTAGGCTCCCAAAGCGCTCAGACTTCCACCCCAGGCAACTTGGAGCCCCGGGACTCACAGGGACCCTGTCAGGACCACTGCGGACCCAGAAAGAGACAGATGGGGGCACATTCTCACAACAGGGAAGTTTCCCTGGACAGTCAATTCTGGACTAGGCACCCAGGAGTGGCCAGGCCAGGCCACCCATCCCTAGGATGGGAATGACGCTGGCGATCATGGGGCTGGGAGAGGTTGCTGAGGCCCTGTTGTTTTGGAGAGCCCTAAGCATCCAACTTGATCTCCACCCATCTGCCACCCCCCAGACAGGGTCCTGGCCTGAGGTAGTGAAATGGGCAAGATGTCCTGGCGGAACCCACCGGTGAACACATGCACCACTAAAAACGCATGGGCACACAGCCTTATGGAGGTGCAGACAGGTGCACAGACAAATACTGAGCACAAAGACAGAGGAAGACAGTATACTTAGAGAATCGCTGTCAACAAATTCAAGTAACAGCTGCCTTCCAGCCACCAACTTCCAGAGTCCACAGGAGGCATCTGCTCTGCAGGATCACAGCCCCAGAAGTCTCCCTGAGGGCGCCATCCTTTCCCCTCCTCCACATGCAGGAATGGCTTTTGTGCACGCTCATCCTCCCACGGGCAGGTGTGCCATGGGCGTGGGAGGGCCTGGGAAGTCATTCTGAGTCCTTACTGCCCACCACGGAGTGGGGTCTTGGGGAATGCCCACAGGGACAGCATGGCCCCACATTTCCTAACTGGAACCATCTCTCTGCTCAAATCCCAAGAGTCCGCAGGAAACAAGAGAGGTGAGATCGGGGGAGACCGGATGGGGGAGAGGTGAGATCAGGGGAGACCAGGATGGGGGAGAGGTGAGATGAGGGGCCAGGCGAGCACTGAGGGGCCAGGCGAGCACTGAGGGGCCAGGCGAGCACTTACCCTTAAAGGGGGGGCCCCAAATCACACAAAGTTGGTGCACAAGAGAGGGAAAGCCATGTCATGGAGGGGAGGCATGCTGGGCTGCGGGACAGGTTCTCGTTTGGAGGGGCGGGGACACAGAAGAGTCAGCAGCCATCTTCGCAGTCAGAGGCCATCAGAGAACATTCTTTCATTGACCTCAGCTGGATGTCTGACCCTGGCCCCCGACTGAGCCCTGATCTAGTCCTTACTTAGTCTCACCTGTAACCCTGAGCCTACTCCTCCACTGTCCCTTAATCCTGGTCACAGGTTCTCCCTATCCCTGATCCCAGACTGACCTCAAGTCCCATCAGGCATCACCCAACTTCACCTTTGGTCAGAAGAGTGCAGCTGGCCCCTTGTGGACTGGCCCTAAGCTGGCGCTGGGAGCAGGAATGGCTCGAAGACAGAATATTTTGATCTGCCTGTTCCCTCCTGAGCATCCCTCTCCCTCCAGGAGGGCTGTAGCTAATGTCCCAGGAATTCCTGGATGCGCTCTGCCTACAGCCTTTCCCCAGGGGGCCCAGAGCACCCCACCCTGGGCTTCCGCTCTTGCCTGCAGTACTGGGAAGCCGGGGTTCATAGCCTGCCTCTCGGGTCCCTGTCGTCCTAAGGCACCTTGAAATCAGTCAGAACAGACTGGGCATTCGTGGTGGGAAAGCTGGTTCAAAGGGAGTTCTACGTGGACGAACTTTGCAAAGCCTGGCAGGAGGGGCTGGGTGAATGTGGAGGATGAGGCCTCAGGCATTCTGGGGAGATGCACAGCCTTGGACCCTCCAACTGGGCTCAGAAAACACTCATCCCGGGGGCAAATCTGCCTACAGTCCCGCTCCTCATCTGGACTTTCAATGCCCAAACGAGTGAAGCCATTTAGCCGTCCAAACTCCTAACCCATGTGCAGTCTTATGAGGCAGCAGATCTATTTTATTTCATCTTCACGACAGCCCGAGAGGTGACACTGATTGTAGATATTAGGTTTGCACGCTACTTTTTGTACTGATGAGAAAGCAAGCCCAAAGTCCCTCCACCCCCCTCCCCACCCGCATAGTATTGTCCTGGTCACACCCCTACCAAGCAAGTGTGCAGCCACTGAGACAGGAGGCCTGTCCCACGCAGCCAATGCCCCTTTGTTTAACGCTGACAACAGAGGGAGTTGTCCGTTTTACCCTCGATTTTGCACAATTTGGGCCTGGAATTTTTTTAATTTGAAAAAGTTTTACTTTCTTTCCCCTAAAACTACCTT